CTATTCCGTTACAGCTTAAGTGAGCCGTTTATTGGAGTGTCCGGCCTAATAATCAATTATTTCGACGATAGAAAATATTTCCACCAGTCTGCTGTCAAGGTGGCAAGCAGGACGCATGGGTAAAAAAGAATAAACACCATTGCGTCTTGTCTTTGTATTTCCTCAAATTATGTCTATATTTAAATGTAAAACAAAACACTATATTTTTCAATGTATGAAAATCTGTCTTTTTGTGTCCTATAAGTTTTAACTCATTTGTCGGATCGCTACACGTGGGAGAGCGTTCGTGTAACGACCTTGGGATTTAGTCGTCTTCTGGAAGTAATTGTAGATCAATAGGTAAAATAGGGTTTCTTCCGTATACCATTTGAAATGGAGAAAATTTAGTGGTTGTTCTATAAGCAAATAATACGTCAGGAATATATCGATCCCAGTCGGCTGTAAACTCGTCTGTAAAATTTCCGAGCACTTCTGAAAGAGTTTTGTTAAATCTTTCTACCAATCCATTTGCTTGAGGGTGATAGGCTGAAATTATTGAGTGTTGGATTCCTAATTTCTCACAGAGTTGCTTGACTATTTCACTTTTAAAATTTGATTCTTGATCGGAAATTAATCGTTTATAGCATCCATACACACTAATAAGATCGTTATATAAAAACCCGACGGTTGTTATTGTTGTAATATTCGGTACCGCTTTCGCAATAGGCCATTTACTGAGATAATCCATAGCTGTAAGAATATATCTATTTTCGTTAACTGTCATTGGCAATGGTCCGATCCAAATTGTTCGAATAAAGCTACCGGGTGTAATGGTTGATTTTTTCTTGGTTTTCCTTTTCTTTGGCAAATATCGCACGTTTTAACGTGATTTCTTATATCAGTAATAAAATTTGGCCACCAATATTTTCCCTTCACTTTTTCTTCCATGGTGGAACTTCCGAGATGTCCACCAAAAGGAGCATCATGAATCGCTCGTAATAAGGCTTCTAATTCTGTTCGTAATATAACGAGTAGTTCTTTCCCATCCTTCCGTATTCGTATTAGTCTTCTTTGCCGTAAATTATATCGTTTGTAAACTTCCTCAGTTGTTCGACCGTTGGATTTTTTGTTTGTTTGTATTGTATTAATTCCTGGTAGTATTGTTCGTCCATTTATAATTATTTAATGCTTGGGTAACCGAGATAGTTTTGAATAAATTCTTCCTGGCCGATGTATAACTGTAAAATCATGAGATTGTAATTTCGTAACCCATCTTCCAGTTCTTCCTTTCGGGTTTTGACCGTTTATATAGACCATCAAGGGCCGAGTGATCCGTAATTACTGTAAAAACGTCTTCCTTCCAAATATGGTGAAATACTTAATTGCCCAGTAATCTGCTAAACATTCTAATTCTGTTATACCGAAGTTTTCTTCATAATTTTCTTCTGATTTGGATAAT